CCCCACTATATATAAAAATTAACTCAAAATGGATCAAAAATCTAAAGTTGAGATTTGAAACTATGAATGAATTAGAAGAAAACACTGGATAAGCACTTCAAGATATCGGCATAGACAATGATTTTTCTGGGTTATACCTGCAAAGAAAAGTTAACAAAAGCAAAAATGGGAAAATAGAATTATATCAAAATAAGAAGCAACTCCAGAGGGAAATAAAAAAAAATCTACAGAGTGAAGAGACAGGTAACAATTATTAAAGAATACATTTATAAATTATTCATGGAAAAGGTTTAATACCCAGACTATATTATAAAAGGAAAAAAAAATGGCCCCAAAACTAATCAAGTTAAGAAATCAGAAACATCTCACTAGAATTTTCTCAAAAGAAGAAATACAAGTAACAGACAAATGCATGAAAAAATGTTCATATAATTCACTATCATGGAAATGCAAACTAAAATCACAAAGAAGCATCATCTTACACCAGTTATCATAACCATTATTAAAAAGACAAAAAAAATATTGTGAAGCTGTGGAGAAAAAAGATACCCTTACACATTGTTGGTGGGAATGCAAATTAACACAACCACTGTGGAGAACAGTGTGGAAGTGCTGCAAACAACTAAAAGTAGATCTAGCACATGACTTTGCTATGCCTTTTCTAAATATACATCCAAAGGAAATGAAATCAGCATAGGAAAGAGATGCCTACACTACCATGTTCATTGTAGAACTATTCACAATGGCCAAGTTACAGAATCAATATAGAATTGATAAGAATCAATATAATATTTATCAATAAATGCCTTGTATTTTTAATGATTTTATTATTCATTGAAATTTCTAGGATTGCAATCATCCTGTATGTTGAGGAATATTTTAATATATTATGCCCAGAACTTAACCAAAAGATTGTCATCATTTTGGAAAATCATATTATGAGCTCTGTGAACTGAATTTTGTCCCTATGAAATATATATATGGAATCTCTAAGCTCCAATATGACTTCCGTTGAAGACAGTGATTTCACAAAAGTAATTAAGGTTAAATGAGATTAGAAACACAGGACTCTGGGGCTGGCACTGTGACACAGTGTGTTAAAGCCCTTTCCTGTAGTGCCACCATCCCAAATGGGAACCAGTTTGAATTCCTGCTGCTCTGCTTCTGATCAGCTCCCTGCTAACGTGCCTGGTAAAGCAACAGAGGATGACCCAAGTCCTTGGGCCTCTGCACGCATGTGGGAGAACCAGAAGATGTTCCTGGTTCCTGACTTCAGATCAGCTCAGTTCTGGCTGTTGCAGCAATTTGGGGAGTGAACCAGTGGATGGAAGACCTCTGTTTATCTCTGTCTCTACCTCTGTAACTCTTTCAAATAAATAAAATAAATCCTTAAAAAAAGAAAAGATAGGAAGCACTCTGATCTAGCAAAATCAGTTTTCTTTGAAGAAACCAAAAGCCATTCAAGTTACACTTGAATCTAATGTAAAAGAGATGACAAAATTGTTCTAAACTATGTTGCTGTCATAAAGTGTAATTCATAATCTGCTTCACATGGAGTTTTCTAAAATAAAAAAATAACAGCACAAATTCTGTTTTAATATTTTCATGCAAAATCAGCTAGATAAAATCTGAAACATGTTTGCCTTACACAATAGTATTAGATAATTTTCACCTCATTTTAGGTTCAATCCTTAATTAAAATGGTAGCTATGTTTACTTGTACTGTAAACAGTTTATTTATTATATCATTAATGTAAACACACAATCTTATATCACACTGTCTTCTCATTTCCAATCCCCAAAGTCAACCATATTTTCCAATTGCAGCAAGTTTTCCAGTAGACATATAGAAATTCATATCCAAGATTTAAGGAGAACCTGTCATGTCATGCATGAATCCTTTATTGCATATTTTGTCTATTCATTAGCTATTTAATAGATTGATGGCAACAATTTTAGATTAATTATATGTGGATTAAGATTAATTATATGTGGATTAAGATTAATTACATGTGATACTTTTGCAGTGAAATTCAAACTTGTCAGTAGTAAACTATTATTCAGATTACAAAAATAACCAAAAGAAAAACATAACCTCAAACATTATTCATTAGCAATCATACCTAAGAAAGAAATTAATAAGACATTTTGGATTGTTAAAATGGTAATCACACAGGCAATCTGTGGCCATATGTTTGAAGCTAGAACTGGTGACTAATTCAAGATAAATCAACAAAATATTTACTCCAGTAAAATAGAAATCTACATAGTAATCCACTCCATTCTTTCTACTACCAACAATTCAAGGGAAATCCTGAACTGGGTTTAAGAGATTTGAAGAGTCTTCTAAAGTTAACGGATGTCATACACATTTAGAGCATATAATTAGAAATCTGGTGAAAATAACTAGTTAATCAACAACTACAAAACTCCAGTGTCTCCTTATCCTGTGCAATGTGTGTGTGTGTATGTTTCTAGGTAGGTGTAGTTGATTAAGAAACATTATTTACGGAGCGGTCTGAAGCCAGTCCCTCTGTGTATTATCCAGGATGAACATATTTCAGTAAAGAAAAGGTCACTGTTAAATACCTCTAAGTCAGTTTAGAAAAATAAATCTCTGATGTTCAAACTCAGAAACACCTATTATTAAGCCCACTGCCCTTAACTGATTGTTCATCAATTCTTTCAAAATAAAAAATACTGACCCTTGATCTCAGAAGTAATGCTCCTATGTTTTGTTAAGCAATTGTAATCTCATTGTTGGCAACTACATCTCTTTTTAAACAAAAGTGTCAGATAGCAGAATCATTTAGAGATTCTCTGCATGAATGCTTGGCATTTTCTCCCCAAGCCAACTTATATTTCAAGTCAACAACAATGAAGTTCTATTAATTGAAAAGCATCTTACTGGAACCAAACTCTCTAAATAGAAGTATCTTGTTTCTCTCTCAACATCATAGTAGATTAAAAAAGAAGGTTAAAATTAACATTATTAAGTGTTCCTAATAAATATAATTAAAATTTAATGATGACACAATAATTTATTTTAATGAGCAACTGGTAATAAAAAATAACTGATTAGAAGTTCAGTAATAATACCTAGTAATAAGCAATCAAGAAGTTTCTGCTTACCCTTATAAATTAAATTCTGTCTTCATTGTGCTTAGTTTACTTCAGATAAAGAATTCTATCAATTAACATTTATTACTGAGCTTAATTTCTACTATATTGGAATTCTTACTACAAAGGTCCTTCCTTCATACTTTATTTCTCTGTAACACAACTGTCATTATTTAAATTCATTCTGGGCATACTGTGAGGTATGCCATACTACACCATTGTTTTTCTTTTCTTTTTTTTTTTAACTTTTATTTAATGAATATAAATTTCCAAAGTACGACTTATGGATTACAATAGCTTCCCCCCAATACCGTCCCTACCACCCACAACCCTCCCCTTTCCCACTCCACCACTACACCATTGTTTTTCTATCAGTGGACTACCATACCATGATCTTTTTTGCATGTAACCATATGAACATTAGTTATTTAAGCCTATTTTTTTATGATTTTAAATAGGTCATTATTGTTCCAAGCCTATTAAATCCAATGTTGCATATCTCCTCAAGTCTGACTGCCCTTTAAAGACAAAGAATTTTATAGATATTATATTTTAAGCTATGTGATACAAGCACCTTATTTAAACTAATATTCTTCTTACTCCATGACTATGTCTTTATTACCCAACATCTTATTCTTACCTGTTTTTACAGGAATTCGTTCTCTTTTCTGATGTCTACTTCTTGTGGTCACGAATTTATTTCCTTCATTTTCCATATCCACACTCTAATGTCTCTTTTCCCTCTTCTTTCAAGTACCTACCGGTATCCCTTTAATTCAAATCCATTCAACCAGCAACTGGCTAATACCATTTTCATCATGACACTCCAAATTCTCCAAAAGATCTCTGAAGTCTCTAGATAACTAATATCTTGTTGAGGTATTCATGATCTTCAACAAGCTGAACTCAAATGGTTTTTCCACACTATTTGCTAACACAAGATCTTTGCTTTCGTTTGGATGAATTTCCTTTTACTTGATTGATGAAAGGCTGATTGACTTATTCTTTCCAAATGGTTAATTATTACCCTTTGTTGATTTTGACAATGCTATGAGTTTCATTTTAATTATGTACATGTTTCTTCATTAGCCTAATTCCCAATTTTTAGCTCAAATTCTATCTTCTCTGTGAAGCTTCTCCTATAGCCCTAAAATACATTAAACCTACATTCTTTTCTGATTCCCAGATCTTTATAAGACAATTTCTTGTTTAACACTCAGTTATAAAACACATTAATTTATATTGTAATTAGATTTAAACTCGGATCCTCTCTTTCAAACAACCTAAACAACAAACCAAAAGGTAACATTTGCTCAGCACAAATTTGTCATTCATTCAGATTGGTCACAGGAATTAAGAATGAATAAAGATAATTGAAAATGAATCTTGATGGAATGGAATGGGAGAGGGAGTGGGAGCTGGGAGGATTGTGGGCAGGAGGGAAGTTATTGGGGGGAAAAAGCCACTGTAATCCATAGGCTGTACTTTGGAAATTTATATTTGCTAAATAAAAGTTAAAAAAAAGAATGAACAATGCTTCTTTTATTTACTCACAACTCTTGATCCAATACGTTTTTCAGATAACAAAAGAAATAATTGAATAGATGAGTAAAATATCACCAACATATATGCTATTAAAAGTGGCCACTATTCCAAGGAATATAATTACTGATATCCACAGTATTCTGACTCCAAAAATACATCTTTATAAGAAGAAATGATAGATGTCAACATAGTACAGATAAAGAAAAAGAACAACAGCTTGAAACATGGACACAATTCCATACAAGCTGGTAGTTTTATTATTTAAACAGATTCAAATTATATTTACATTTCATTATTTGCAAAACATGTATCTTAAAATTCTATGTTCTACATACCTGTCCAGTCTCCTACTATTTTAAGATGGACTCCAAATGTTGCTTTTTTTTCTGTAGGACACTAAAAAGAAAATAAATACTACAGTCAATTCTGATTCATATGATGCATTACCAGACTATGACTCAATTACAACTTTTATTCTCATAGCAGGTCTCCCAAATCAATAGATAATTGAAAGGAACAGATTAAAATCAATACAGATTTTCATTAGTGGAAGAAAAAAGCAATGTCCACCAGTCTATAAGACTGTCTACATTTCTGTAAAAACCCATTAAAAGTCATATAAAATACATAAAATACACAATCTTGCTGAAACTTGTCTTAGTTATAATATAGGAAAGGAGTCAGATATCAATCATAAAGGTAGAAATGAAGCTAATGTTTTTCACATCATTTCTCCTAACGAATTCCACGATGAAAATTAATCAAGGTGGCATGAATTTTCTATGTCCAGAAACTAGGGTTATCTTGAAGCACTTCAATTAGCTACTTCCCTTAATTCTCAGAAGACATTTAGAGTGAAATGGTGAGGATCTCTAGAGAGTGGAATGAGTTGTATAGCTAAAGGTAAAGACAAGTGCCAGGACTGGCGCTGTGGCATAGCAGGTAAAGCCACTGCCTGAGGTACCAGCATCCCATATGGGTGGCAGTTCGAGTCCCAGCTGCTCTACTTCTGATCCAGCTCTCTGCTATGGCCTAGGAAAGCAGTGAAGATGGCCCAAGTGCTCGGGCCCTTGCACCCATGAGGGATACCCGAAAGAGGCTTGCTCTCTCTTTCTCTCTCTGCCTCTCCCTCTGCCTCTCTGTAACTCAGCCTTTCAAATAAATAAATCTTTTAAAAAATTGAAAATCTAGTAAAGTACACCATTTAGGAAAAAAAAAAGAGACAACCCCTTTGCTTATGTATTCAGGATTTATGAAATCCAGAAAACAGGTAGTCAAATGAGATGATACATTTTAGTCCACAATAAGGAAATAAAGAATATACTCCTACTTTTCATATTCTCAGTCCTTTTCTACCATTACATAATTCAATAATTTTAAATAATATGTTTTTTATAACACATTTGGAAGCACTGTCTAACTTGAACTGATAACAGGGTAATATTTCTGGTTAAAAATAATTACAGAAGCATCATCCTACTGAATTATCAATTTGTTCAAGAATATTGAACTACATCCAGCAGAGATATTAAGGACTGAATAGGATATGAATATTTTTTGAAGTCCATAGCATTCTGAAAATACATCTTTCCTGAGGGTAATGGAAGAGGGATCATCTGCCTATAAATTGCCAACATTCATCATGTACAATATGCCCAGGGCAGTACTAAGTGCCTTATTTCTAAAATCTCACAACAGTGTTGTCTTTTATGTGCCAATAAATTGAGTAACTGCGACTTTAAGATGTCAACTTGCTTAAGATCATACAACTTGCAAAAAGACCAGACAGAATTTTGATGTGGCTCTACTAGACTATATGGAACTCAACTGTATCAGAACACTGCCTCCATTAAAGCAAATGTATAGAATATGGGTGAGGATTGCATAAAAAAAATCAAATGGAGTAGGAAAGCAAAAAGGTATTTATTGAAGACTAGTAAAATTTGTGTGCAACAATATGAATTATGAGAAATTAGAGGCTAACAATTAGGTATAAATGAAATAAAATGGCAATGGTTCTAAAGGCCCATGGCTAAAAATTGGGTTACATAAAGCAAGTCTAAGACCTTAGAGCTCACTTTCTTGACTAATTAATGTGGGTAATACAATAATGCTAGAAGGAGAAAAGATAATGGAATAAATAATATCATGGAGATATGCTTACAACTCATCAAAAGTGGCTTTAAAAAACAGTGAAAATCTAAATAAAAAGGTAGGTATTAATCACTTGTGCATAATAAATTGTAAGCAAATTAAAAGTACATAAGCTCTATTTATGGATGGGAATTAACAAAGAATTTCCAAACCACTACTGTACTACATTCAGTTTTTGATAGGACTACTACTGTTAACAGTAGCATAAAATATTAAAATAAATATTTAGTAAAGGGGTTATTAAAAAATTTGAAGCTTTAAATATTTGCAACTTCACTTACAAGTTGGGTATTATTTACCTAAAATGCTTGCAACCATAAGTATTTTAAATTTTGGAAATATATAAGTAATCACATATTTTGGGGATGGTACCCAAGACCAACTAGAAATTCATTTATGTTTTATATGCATGTTATACACAGAACCAGAAGGTAATTTTATATGATTTTTTAGTGCACCTGTGTTTTTCAGTACATGAGGTCAGGTGTGCAATTCTTCACTTGTGGCATCATGCCCATCCTAAAATTTTTGAATTTTGGAGCATATCTGGGTTTTCCATTTTTGGATCATGGTTAGTGAAACTGTAAAATTATTATTATGAATTTATTTCATTTACATGGTAGTTTCCACTGACAGCAACCAGATCGGGCCCTAGTAAATCTCCAAATAAGATTATATCATCTGTAGAAAACACCCACCATTTTCATTTCACTGATGTAAAGGCTGGTCAGATTGTGTAATAAAATTTGTAGCTCACAGAAAGGAAGATCAAGAATTACAGGCTACCAATGTGATTATCTACAGGCTGCTTGATATTTTTCATTGTGAACTAGATCTTAGGCTATTAAAAGATTATCTAAGTCAAAAATGTATCAGAATGGGAAGCAAAATTAGTTTGGCATTGTGTGCTTGAGTATGCCTCTGGCTGGATTCAATCTCATAATGCATTCTATAAGAAAATATACATTTTATAAATATTCATGTCTCTGTTCAAGTTTTTCAGTTTAAACCCTGGAAAAAGTAATTGCTTATGATGCTTAGCATCCCCTTGTTCTCATCAGGGACTGTAAACCTCCTCTCGTAGGTGCTGGTGGATGTATCAATAGAGCTTCAAAAGCTGGTCTGCTTTTGAATGAATAAAATATAATACATGTCTCTCAACATCATGGGAATGATGCCTTTAAAAGTCACTGACACTTCTCCAACTTTGGCAGGATTAAAGAAGACAGACTAACACAGTCTTTACTTAAGCATATCACTTCATATTTGACTCATATTTGAAGGTTTTCATGGGGTAATATACTGAATGATTTTATATTATGTGGTGTATAAACATGAATAAAGATCTAGAATCACATTTAACTATCTTTGCAAAATAATATTCAGAACAGTGTGGTGATTCTTGAATATTTTCTCAGTACATTTTATTTATTTTTAATATTTTTAAAAGATTTACTCATTCATTTTGAAAGTCAGAGTTATAAGGGGAAGGGGGAGGGAGAGAGAGAGAGAGAGAGAGAGAGAGAATATATCTTCTATTTACAGGTTTTCCACAGGTGGGAGCAGTAGTACTATGCCAGGCTGCAGCCAGGAGGCAGGAGCTTTATCTGGGTTTCCCATATGGGTGGAAGAGCCACAAACACTTGGGCCATATTCAGCTACTTTCCCAGGTCATTATCAGGAAGCTGGACCAGAAGTGGAACAACCAGGACAGGAACTGATGCCTCTATGAAATGCCAGCATCATAGAGTACAGCTTTACCCACTCTGCCACAACACTGACTCCTTCTCAACTACATTTTAAAGTCTTGTTTATTTGTATTTATTTGAAAGTCAGAATGACTGAGAACACACACACACACACACACACACAGATTGATCGTCGAAGCACTGTTCCCTCCCCCCAAATACTCCCAACAGCTACTGTTTGGCCAGCCTAAAGACAAGAAACCAATCCAGGTCTTATGTGGATGGAAGGAATCCAAGTATGTGAACTGTCACCTGCTGCCTCCCAAGGTCTACAGTAGCAGGAAACTGTACTGAAAGCAGTCAGGGCTGAAACCAAGCATTCTGATGTAAGGTAAAGCTGTCCCGAGCAGTGGCTTAGCTTTTGTGCCATAGACTCACCCCTCTCACTGTCCCCTTAACAGTTGTAGATAATGTCTCAAAGGAAAGAAACAATAACATATTAATATCTATAGCTATACTGTTTATCCTAAAACATTAATAAAGGAAGATTCTTATTACTAACTTTCAGGAAAAAAATTAATAAATAATATGCATTCTTAAGCGCACATTAAAACAAAATTACAGAAAATCATGCTTTTCTCTATGCACAGTTAAAATGTAGGGGAATGTATATTAAGCTATTAGGAAGATTAGCCTTTGAGAAGTAGAATTGAAAACACAGAAAGTAAGAATTTGCACTTTTTTCACACACTTCTATCTCTTAAATTTGCTATAGTTTTAATTTATATAATATTTCAAACATTTAATTTAAATATAAAACATTATAACATTGCTGAGTCTTACTTTAGCTTCCTAGATATAGAGAATGGAGTTTGGTTTATGTTGACCTTAATACAAATGCCTGGATATATATCCCCCAAATTTAAGGATAACAGAAATGAAAAGTGACAAAATCAGTGTAACAACTGATCTTTAGCAATGGGGAAAAAGTGATCTTTTCTAATTAGTTTTTCAATATGGCATTTTTATGGATTTTTAATGTGCACAAGAGACCAATGATTTTATAACAACTCTATAAAAATATAAAACATATTTTTAAACTCATCTTATGTTTGGGAATTGGGAACAGTGCTGTGGCATAGTGGGTTAAGGCACCGCATGCATTGATAGCATTTTACACAGGTGCCAGTTTGAGTCCTGGCTGCTCCACTTCTGGTCCAGCTCCCTGCTAATGTGCCTTAGAATGCAGTGAAAGATGGCTCAAGTTCTTGGGACCCTGTACCCATGTGGGAGACCAGAAGAACCTTCTGGCTCCTGGTTTTGGATCCAGCCCAGCTCTGGCTATTACAGCCATTTAGGGAGTAAGCCATCAGACAGAAGATCTCTCTGTCTCTCCCCTTCTCTTTCCCTCCCTAACTCTTTCAAATAAATAAATAAATGTTAAAAAATAATAATTTTTTATTTATATTTGGAATTAAATGTAAAAATGATGTGAATGCAAAAGAATTTACTCAAAGTGCAAAAGAAATTTAAAAGTTGCAATGCTTTTTTTTTAAGTCAAGAGGTTTACAATAATTTTAAAAAACTGACTCAAAATAGTAACATTTAATTTTCAGCATAACTACATTGGAGAAATCAGAGAAAATGATCGTGGAGTATGGTATTTTTCAGTCATTGATTAGGTATTTATTTATAATAGTCTTTTTCCAAGTTCTAGTTTTACCTTTTCTACTTCCTACTAGACATTACTACCTGAAATCTACTCTAAAGTTAATGTTTCTAAAATTTTGGGTATCTTAGTTCTCAAATTATTTGCTTCTTATAATTCCCTTGTATCTGGAAATGGAACCTGCATCTCTCACTACAGGGGCTCAAATATCAGAAGAGTAATTTATTTCTCTTGTTACTGGCATTTAATTAATTTTAAAATTATTTCAAATAATCTTCCCCCAAAAAAGTCTGATCCCAGTAATCTCATATTGATAAAACTGAACGTCCCCTTATGGAAAACCATCCATATTGTTTCATTCCTATAGCCAATGGACAAACATATCAATTCCAAATACCTTCCAGCTTTATATCCTATGTATCATTATTCACATTAATCCAGTTAAACCAACTTTTTTCAACACATACACTTTCTGAACCCTGCATCTCCTCACTCATGTGTCTATTCATTTAGAATGACTTCATTTCCACTTCTCATGTTGACCCTCACAACTCTTCAAGGCTCCTGTCAAATGTCACCATTTCAGACATCTCGATTTTCGCTGAAAAGAGAACCTTCATTTCCCTGAAACCTCATGTAATTTGTGTAGCTTTTATACTGTTTGGTTACAGTATTCCTCTTTATTTTTGTGTATTTTCTGTGTATTAGTAAACTAAAAATCTGGAGATCAACAACTATTTCTATTGCTCGCTTTAACAGCACATAAATAAAACTGGAACAATTCTGAAAGCATTAGCATGGCTTCTGTCCAAGGATAACACATAAATTTATTATGTGTTACATATTTTTTTGTTGTTGTTGTGGTGCAGTGGTGAAGCCACTACCTACAATACCAATATCCCATACTGGAGTCCGAGCTACTCTACTTCTCATTTAGCTTCATGCTAATGTGTCTGGGAAGCAGCAGATTACAATCCAAATACTTTGGCCCTTGCCACCCACTTGGGAGACCCATAGAGAATTCTGGGCCCTTGGGGCCAGCACCATGGCACATTAGGTTAATCCTCCGCCTGCGGTGCCAGCATCCCATACGGGCACCAGTTCAATTCCCGGCTGCTCCTTTTCCAGTCCAGCTCTCTGCTATGGCCTGTGAAAGCAGTGGAAGATGACCCAAGTGCTTGGGCCCCTACACCTGCATAGGAGACCCAGAAGAACCTCCTGGCTCCTGGCTTCAGATCAGCGCAGCTCTGGCTGTTGTGGACATTTAGGGAGTGAACCAATGGAAGGAAGACCTTTCCTCTGTCTCTCCCTCTCATTGTCTGTAAAATCTTAAATTTTAAAATCTTAAAAGAAAAATAATGAGAATTCTGGGCCCCTGGCTTTAACCTGGACCAATCCCTGTCATTGAGATAGAGCTCCTTTTCTCTCTGTCTCTCCCTCTCTCTCTGTAACTCTGCCTTTCAAATAAATAAATCTTTAAAAAATTTTTCTAAATCATTATTATATTCCATAGTATATTATACATATAGTATGTCAGGTTAATAAACAAATGTCAGTTAGAAATAATGGAGAATTTACCCAAGAATCAATAAGGACTTCAAAGATATGTAATTCCTGGATGAATTATTCATATACTTTACAAATACTTATTGAAAGTCCAAAATATTCCAGAGACTGTACTAGGACCTCATATAATTTCACAAATGAGGATTGTTCTAAAGTAGGGGAGAAGATAGTGAGCCAGGAGCATAGACTCTATTACAGTTAAGGCAATTTTGTGACAGTAAATACTGTCACAGATGTAAAATTTTCATGATTACTTGATAGAAAAAGCAGCATTTACTTGTGTATTTGAATGAAAATATAGTCAGTGTTAAACAAAGACTCTGACAAGTATGTTATGTTAGTAGAATTTTTGTTAACTTGAATGAAAAGAATGGATTTATCTCAAGCCCCTCAAGGAAAAAAAAAAAAACTAATACAACTCATGATTACAAAAATACAATCCACAACAAAGACAACATAAGAGTGATGACAACAATAGAGTCTGCGTAAATTTCAAAATTAACCGTGTTTCTCCTATAAACTGTGTATGGAATGTGAAAGAAGCAGTCATCAAGGCTGATTCCAAAGGTTTTGGTCTGAGCAACTAGAGTTCCATTAACTGAGTCAGAGAAAGCTGGGTGTCGGGAATGGGTTCTGATGGCCATCTGTAAATCTCAGTTAGGACAGGTTATTTCAGGTAGCAGGGAGCGCACACACATTCATCAATACTCTCAGTGAGTGACTCAACTCTGCCTTCCACTGTCTCAGTTATCTCTGGAGGCTTTGAGTTCCATGTGTGTTTGTCTTTGTGTTTGTGGAGAGTACACAGTTCCCTTGTTTATGCTTCAGGAAAGATGCATCTAGAGGTCAAAATTCCCCAATCTGAACAAATTTATCATCTTTTATATCTTGAGTCCAAACCCCAAATTCCTCCTATTGTCTCAGACCTGAGCTTTTCTAATGTTGTGATAGAAAGAGTTTGCTTCTCATAGTGATTCAAAGGGATTTCAACTTCATGTTTGTTTAGTCAGTTTCAAAACTATCAAAAATGTGTTGGGTATCCATCTATTGTAATCACTCTCATGTTATCAATGACACTATATGGAACTCCCATAGAAAAGCATTTAGCTAGAGAGGAAAAGGGATTCAAGGTATGTACACAAGGCCAGTGCCACAGCTCACTTGGCTAATCCTCTGCCTGCGGCGCCAGCACGCCAGGTTCTAGTCCTGGTTTGGGTGCCGGATTCTGTCCCGGTTGCTCCTCTTCCAGGCCAGCTCTCTGCTGTGGCCTGGGAAGGCAGTGGAGGATGGCCCAAGTGCTTGAGCCCTGCACCCGCATGGATGACCAGGAGGAAGCACCTAGCTCCTGGCTTTGGATGGGCCATGGCGGCCATTTTGGGCATAAACCAATGGAAAAGGAAGACCTTTTTCTCTGTCTCTCTCCTTTCTCACTAAGTCTGCCTGTCCCCCCCCCCCCAAAAAAAAGGGTATATACACAAGAGTCTTCTAATAAGTGGAGCTCATGGTTATGACAAGGGAAGGGGGGAAAAAAGACTGAATGAAAAATAGGCAGAAAACTAGGAGAAAGCCACCTGAGTGGAAGTCCTCGACACAGAATGGGAAAAATATTTCAATAAAATAAATGATAAACTGTATTAGTTGCTACTAATCTGTCAAGCCAGTTAAAGATCCGGAAATCACTATTAGATTAGCAATAAATATGGTCATTATGAATTGTGGAAATGTTTCAGCAGGTGCAGTGGGCAAAAGGCAAACTTCACACAAAATGTGAGGAAAGGAGGTGAAGAGCTTCTGGTACTAGCTAGGAGGTGTGAACCAAGAGGGGAATTTTGGTCATCATTTCTTCTTGATACCCAGGTTAAAAAGAGTCATGCAAAGATACTGATTGAACAAATGAAGCTTCATATTAAGCAGAACATTAAACTCTGAATATATTGAGCTATTTAGGCTTATATTTATCATGCAGGCTCTCATTAGCCACTGGGGAAATATTTTCTTCCCCCTCACTCCTGGAAAAAAGCCAAAGTAGAGTAGCTAGATGAGATGTAATTCCCAAAGAACTCACATGCCCAGTTATACCACATCCACACTAATGACTGTCTGGGGCAATTCTCACCACCATGCCTAGTTTACACGTATGACACCTTGTTGCCATGCTCATCTGTTATCAAACTCAGCTGACTTTCTAAGCTTTCCAAGCAAAATACTTGTGAAACCCTGGAGTATAGCAGTTTTTAAAAGTTAGACAGATGAGAGTAAGACCAGAGATCAAAACAGCTGATGTAGACTTCCTGGTTATAATAAATACATGGAATTAAATAAAACAACAACACAATTTTGCCAGTCTTTAGGAAATGCATTGCCATTCTTGTCTGTTTTCCACTGAAAACAGGAAAAACTATTCCCAGTGTGAGTGGCTGAGAGATCAAAAACAAAAGGAGAAAAATAATGGCAAGTGCAGGCTTGCTATGTGAAAGTACAGACAACAACAAACTAACAGCTAGACTTGCCTCTGACTCATGGAAAAATATGTGAAATCAGGTTATTCAAGCTTAAAAATAATGAATCACACAACAATCTAGACTACAGATGGCAGAAAAGCACAGTTGTTTCTGAGTAAAAATAATAAAGCATATAGACGTACTTACATAAGCTTCAGTCAATACTATTATTAAAAAGGCAGACTCTATACTATGTCTATAATTGAAAATATTAATGAAAAATACATCAGAAAACATAAAAAGATAGCACATTTGTAGTAAATATTATAAACAGGCCCCACAACCTCTTAAGATCAGGATTTAAAAAAACATTTCAGGGCCAGTGTTGTGGTGTAGTGGGTAAAGCTGCCAGCTGCCATGCTGGGATTCCATATGGGTGCTGGTTTGAGTCCTGTCTACTCTACTTCTCATCTAGCTCCCTGCTGATTTTCCTGAGAAAGCAGTACAAGATGGCTCAGGTACTTGGGCCCCTACACCCACTTGGGAGACCTGGAAGAAGCTCCAGTTCCTGGCTTCAGACCATGGCAGTCATTTGGGGAGTGAACCAACATATGGAAGATTCTCTTTCTTTCTATATCTCCTCTCTCTCTCTCTAACTCTGTTTTTCAAACAAATAGATATATCTTTAAAAAAAACTTAAAATCATCTCTAATTTATACACATAAATAGGTGAGAGTATACCTTAATAGAAGATGTGTTATGGTAGAAAATCTAAAATCTGGCAATTGCACAGCACAACTGGGAAGCACTAGTAGAAATATATTACACAGCTGAAGAATAAAATGTAAAATTATGCACAGTTTTTAAGTCATCATATGTTTAAAGAAGAGAAAAATCAGGAACTTGGATTCTGATTCCAACTTTGTTATCAATTGTTACTTTGGTCACTTAATCTATGCTCTAGTCCTCTCTAATATATATAATTTGTGATTGGAATTACAAATTTTTAAGTCAGTTAATCTAGGACATATTAATCTAAAATTTAATTTCTAATTTTAAAAAAGTAGAATTATTTCACACAAGGTTTGTATTTTTAAAATGCTACTTGTAATGGACAATGTAGTACATTGTCCAGATCCTGTCCCTACACTTCTTCCTCCCAGTTTTCAAGACCAGAACACTCATTAATGATTATATCAGCTGCTGAGAGTGTTGCTGGCTAAGGGATTGCTACTGAGACTCTCCAAATTGCTCAACACAGAAGAAGGATTCCTTGCCCATGTCTAAGTGCTCCATCAAGGAGGCATCTGAATTCCAAGGACTGGTCATTTAAGGGATACAAGAAATTGTTCCTCTTCTTCAAAATAAGATAAATAAGACTGCTGTCAACTACCATTTCAGTTGCACAGCTCCTGCCCAATCTTCTGAAGCTTCAGCTGTGACTATAACACACAGTTCAAGTTCTGTCTTATCTTCCTAGCCCCTCAACCACTGTTGAATGTTGTGCTGAGCATAAATCCTAACAAACCTCCTATATATAAATATCTGCTTCCCAATCAGTTTCCCAAAAACTCTACTAAAGGATCATTCATCCAAAGGCTAGTAAACTGTAAGAGGTAAATCATGAGTTCCCCAAGGATGGGTATCTAAACCAGTCTGTGGTCAGAGGTCAGTCAGTTACTACACACTGCAGAATGAGTCAAAAATTTAGTTAAATCCATGCCTGCGTCCCTCAGTCACAATCAGAAACTATAATAAGAATGATTTACTGACAACTTACTACAGGCCAAACATCATGCTTAGCATTCAATTCCTTATTTGTAATTAATACATGCAGTAATT